TTCCATGTGGGAATTTCGGCCCTGCAGGGAACTGGGGGAAACGGTTCACAGAGCGCTGAGATCGGTTGTATAAGCACACAAAATGACAAATAAACAAGTCAACAACGTGGGGTAGGCTGCACGCTCCGCTACTGAGACGCTTCCAGTGGACGCATCAAAACCGTGGTGCAGCCGTAATGTACCGTAGACGCAGTCAGTGGATCCCCGCCGTTAGGGTGTTGCTAATGATGCGTTCCCGATCGCTTGGAACTTGGATATTTCCCAGGTGAATTTTCAGACTTCCGACCTGAAAGCATTCCAGATGCATAATGTGTAATGACGCCGAATGTGAATGAAAAACATGGCTGACGTGACAAACTGATGGTTCTGACTGACTGATGTCAAGTGTGCACACAGTTGAACCCTCAGCAGTGGCCTTGGTGTACCTACAATAACAATGACAGCATACTGTATTTCTACATCAATTTACATCCAGAACAGGTTTTACTAGATGATAGGGCTGAACGATTAATCATTTTCAAATCTAAATTACAAACCGTTCCGTTGTCTGCATGTTACATCTCCCACACGGAGCATTTCAGAATAAGAGCATTTTGCCTGCTTGATTTTGCTGATTTGTTCAGATTTTGTGGATTTGTTCGGTTGTCATTGATTTTTGTGCGTCTACCATTGTTAAGTAGCCACGCAGTAAAAAAATTTTTTGTCTGTTTTAACTGTGTTTATAGTTGATACACAATTGGAAGTCTGCACAGGGTGTTTTATTTAGAAAGTCCAGCGGATTCTCTATGCCGTTCTGTGTCTGACTTCCTGCCCGGTTCATCTGCTCTGTGCTGCTTGAATCGGGTTTCGTCAAAAATAGACTGGCAGTGAATATTGAACTTTAGCTAAACTTAAAAAATATAAATCGCAAATCGAATTGTAATTGCAATGTCTGACAGAAAATTCGCATTCGAAAACTGCGTTCAATTGCCTCGCTTTGAAAAACTCAACAGTTGTACTATCACTGTCTTCTAGACAGATACAAGACTATTTGTATTTATGTAAATTGTGCACTGGGTCATACTTTATAATATTATACTTTAATGTTAATGGACATGTGTTTTGGTTTCCATATGTTTCCACAAGGTGTTGTTTATGCAAACAAAATGTGCACAGTGCTGCTAATTTTATTTGTGGTTTCCAATATGAAACTTGGTTTAACTGTGTATCGGTGCTATTTGAACATTTTCAGCACATTTTAATAACACAATAAACCTGATAAGTGTGATCATGTTGTTTACTCTAATCTTGATTTAAAAATGTCAATACCATTTCATCTCTAGTCAGAAGACAACGGAAGGGGAGGAGAATTCTGACTGAAATATTCAGTCAATGGCAGGCTTGTAAGTCATTATATCTTAAAGTAATGACTTGGTTAGATACGCTTATCCTGTGCACAGGGTCGTGGAGATACTTAATCATTTGAGATAAGTAAATCAGTATTTTGAGATACTAAGTCATTATTCTTTGAAAGTTTCTCATTATAATGACTTGCAGCATCTTTTTTTTTTCATCACATTGGTGGAAATGGGTTTCCAGCAAGTACAGAAAATTCCCACATGCATTGCTATAATGTTCTAAATGTTAATGAACCTGCAAAATGTGAAAAACATACTTGTCAGATCATCAAGCATTTGGGGAGATTTTTGTGGGATTGACTGATCTTACCGTCTAACCACAGCTTATCATTTTTACACTTTGGCTTTTGTATGGCTTAAACAAACAAATAAAGTGTTAATTAGTGAGCTTTACATCTTTTTTAAACTAACTGTCTTCACACATGCACACAGAACTAGAGAGAAAGGAAAGAAGGAAAATGAGGAGTGAGTTAGACGGCTTGTTAACCTCCATACTGTGATCAGATCACCATCACTGATGTTCTTTTAGAAATGTTGCTCATGGATAGTGGTTACAAGTAATGATGCCTGTGCATCGCTTTGTACGGCGTACAGGCCTACAGACTACGTCAGCTGGTTCATTTGCCTAATCTTTGCAGGTCTTTAGACCACTGAACGCACACAACAATGGGCTGAAGGAACCTTTTAGTTCCATGAAAAGAGATCCGGGGACTAAAAAGTTCCGGCTACTTTTGGTGGAAATGCAGCTATAGTTGTTCATATTTACATATCACGGAAAAAGTAGGAGATTAGATTGCAGCTTATACATACTGTGTTGACCAGCAGTCATTACTTACTTACATACACACCACAGACTGTATATAAGAAATGGACGTAGTCATCGTGACGTCACCCGTTGGTTTGTGGACTGCCGTTTTGAAGCCTCGAGTTTGGCCGATAGGTCGCCGCCATGTCGAGTTTTTGCAACCAGGAAGTGCCCGGAAATGACGATACGGCGGAGCTAACGGCCGTGTGCGGAGCTAGCTAGCTTGCTTAGCTAGGTGCATCTGTAATTCACGTTAACATCAACGTCATTTTAACAGGGCTGATAACTTTGTCTAGCGAACAACAGTCTTAAATCTAAATGTACTCACCAGAGAAAGTGAACAGCCGACTCCTAATAAGCTTTTTCAACGGTGCTGGTTAAATTTACACAGGGCCGAGGGTACGAGTCTGCTCCAGCCTGATTGACAGGTTCCCATAGTAACGACTTGTCAACTTGTCAGATAATCCCGCCCTGAAACATACTCTGCTTTTTGGTCTATTTTAAAATAAATGGGGCCATAATTTACTAAATGAACATCATTTTGTATTGAAGAAGACTTGAAACTAGCAACTGAGACCATAAACACATCAGGAAAGTGTTTACTGGGGTACTTCAGCTGAGAAGTAGGGTCATGTTCCCATTATTTCTAATGGAGCCAGACTTCTTTTTGCAACCAGAGTCAAGAGTCGCCCCCTGCTGGATTTTCAATAGAATGCAGGTTTCAGGGACTTCCGCATCGGCTTCATATTGTGGACCGGAAGCTTCCGACTTCATATACGCACGCACGCACGCCCACCCGCACGCCCGCCCGCGCGCACACACACACACACACACACACACATTCACACACACACACCCCGTTTGTTAAGGATGTGTCCCGGGGAAGATCTCTGGCTAGCATACAGAAACATGTTGGTCTGGGAAGAAAACTGGGTGGGTGACGGAAGACAGAGACAGTCATTACCTGTCTAATGTAATGTGCGTGTAATGGTATAGAGACCATTCAACATGTGCTGGTTGAGTGTAGAGGCTATGTGGAGGCGAGGAGGAAAATAGCAGCAGTTGTAGAGAAAGCTAAGCTTAAGTTCACTGTCGAGAACCTCCTTGGGGATAAAGCATGGGGAATATCTAAGCACCTCATTAAATATCTGAAAGATACGGGATTAATGGAAAGGATATAGCTTTTCAATTTTAATTTTTTAATTTTTTTGTTTCATTTGTTTATTTGCTTTTTATGTTAGTCTGTTCCACACTCCAGTCCGGTAGGTGGCGGTAATGCTCCTAAATGCTGGTTGTCAACCGCCATGGAGGGCAGGTTGGCATGATTTTTTCTGCAGTCCTGACTGTCCGTTGTAGTCTGCTCCTGTCCTTTTTGGTGGCAGATCCAAACCAGACAGTGATTGAGTTGCAGAGCACAGACTGGATGATGGCTGTGTAGAACTGGATCAGCAGGTCCTTAGGCAGGTTGTGCTTCCTGAGCTGACACAGGAAGTACATCCTCTGCTGGGCCTACTTGATGATGGTGTCAGTGTTGGGCTCCCATTTCAGGTCCTGGGATATAGTGGAACCCAGAAACCTGAAGGATTCCACAGCAGACACAGGGCTGTTGAGTATGGTGTTGGGGGGCAGAGTGGGGGGGATCCTCCTGAAATCCACGATCATCTCCACAGTTTTGAGCGTGTTAAGCTCCAGGTTGTTCTGGACGCACCAGAGAGCTAGCTGATCAACCTCCTGTCTGTAGGCCGACGCATCACCGTCCCGGATGAGGCGGATGACCGTTGTGTTGTGGGGCCTGTAATGTCCTTCAGGTGGGCCAACACCAGTCTTTCAGAGGACTTCATGACTACAGATGTCAGGGCGACGGGCCTGTAGTCATTTAGTCCAGAGATGGAGGGTTTTTTGGGACCAGGATGACTGTGGAGCGTTTGAAGCAGGAGGGAACTTCACACAGCTCCAGTGATTTGTTGAAGATCTGAGAGAAGATGGGGGCCAGCTGGTCCGCACAGATTTTCAGGCACGTTGGTGAGACACCGTCAGGTCCAGGAGCCTTCCTGATCTTCTGCTTTTGGAAGAGGTGGCTCACGTCCTCTTCACAGATCTTGAGTGCAGGTGAAAGGTCAGAGGAGGAAGGTGACTGTTTGAAGATTGCGGGGGAGAGGTGTGACTCTGGGCTTTTCAAACCTACAGTAGAAACCATTCAGCTCGTCTGCCAGTCGTTGAGTACCAGCAGTGTTGGGGGATGGCCTCTTGTAGTTTGTGAGTGTCCGTAGGCTTCTCCACACTGACACAGGGTCGCTGGCTGCAAAGCTGTTATTTAGCTTTTCAGCGTAGCACCTCTTTGCAGCTTTGATCTCTGAATGTCTCAACCAAGTCCAGTTGCCCTTGATTTTAACCTTCATTGGATGTTATGCAAACATATTCCAGAGGGAAATGATTTGTATTTACATAAATATTTACATATTATAGAGGGCAAGGATTTGTATTTACATAAACATTTACTTATTTACATATTACAGAGGGAGATGATTTGTATTTACATAAATATTTACATATTATAGAGGGCAAGGATTTGCATTTACATAAACATTTACTTATTTACATATTACAGAGGGAGAGGATTTGTTTTTACATTAATATTTACATTTTACAGAGGGAGAGGATTTGTACTTACATAAATATAAAATTGTCAGAAACACAAATATAAATGGCAGTTTGTGCATTGATATGAAAATATTCGACAAACATACAGTTGACATAAATAAATGTAAGAAAATATATATAAATTTGGACAAAATAGATGCATGTAGTCCACAAGCTACATGTTATGAAAGAATAATATAAAACTTTGTGGCAGTTATTTACAAAATATGAATATTTGCATTATTACAGTCAATTATTACTATCAATTCAATATGTGATTCAAATGTGCTGTGTAGTAAAATCTTTGCAGCAACTTATGGCTTAATCATCCTGGAGAAGAATTGCTTGATCTTCTTCAGCCACTTCTTCCGGCATTTGACTTCAACAAAGTGTGTGTTTCCTTTGTCATTGTTAGTGTTTCCCTCATGTGAATTATGACTAACAGAAGCAGGTGAAGTTGCCTTATCTGTGCCTGATGCTTTTTCATCTGTCCCAGCAGAGTTGGGGTCATTTAAGCCAGCACTGGCTACTTTGTCTGGTAGTCCATATTTTTTAGTTCCAGCAGTGACAATGTCAGCTGTGGCTGGTGGTTCATTTTCCTCAGTTCTATCATGTGAATTCTGACTAACAGGAGTAGGTGAAGTTGCCTTATCTGTGCCTGATGCTTTTTCATCTGTCCCAGCAGAGTTGGGGTCATTTAAGCCAGCACTGGCTACTTTGTCTGGTTGTCCATTGTTTGTAGTTCCAGCAGTGACAATGTCAGCTGTGGCTGGTGGTTCATTTAGTGTATCATCCAATTTAGTAATGGACGAACCATTCCAACCTGTCACTTTTCTGGATGTTTCAAAGGGTTTGCATTCAACCGATGACTGCTCCAGTTGGCAGTCCTCCATGGCCAAACGGGCAGATGTCACATAAGGGTCTTTGTTAGAGTGAAAGTGTTTCATTGTGACAAAACTGTGCCCTAAAGCTTCGCTGGGGGTGATTCTCTTTTCAGGACTCACTTGCAGCATCTGTGTGATTAGGCTTAAAAAGGCCTGTGTGTCTTTATATTCAGCATAATTCTTCACTTTTGATCGGGTCTTTGCCATGTCATCCAGACTGGTAAACTTGTTGAAAATCCCCTCAGAGCGATGGACCACGTAGCCTGCTAAGCTGGTGTATTCATCTTCATCATTCAGTCTACACATAGAGTTTTCAAAGGTGAAAAATATGTAGGTCCTTCTTCCGTAATACAGCATGAATTTATCAGGTGGACCCTGCATCTGCACGATGGCTCTGATGACCTCATATTCAGACTCTGTTGGATAAAGGTGCTGTCCCAGGTACAGGAAGGCCAAAGTGCAACCTAGTGCCCACATATCGCTGGCCTCGTTCATTGGGAGGCCCAACAAGTCCTCTGGGGCCCTGTAAGCAACGCATTGCTCTGTGGTGCCATTCCTGAATGTGGAAACCGGTCCTGCTGCACCAAAACCAATCAGTTTCACCTTGAATGACTGCAACTGATTCACAAGCATTACCTTTTCTGGGCTAATGTCTTTATGAGCCAGACCGATGCTCTTGAGAGCATTCAGAGCCACCAGGAGCTGTTGTGTGATTACTCTGATCTCAGATAAACACAATGGCTTGAAGTGCTGTAGTTTCATGAAGTCGTACAGACTTTTGTCGAGCAGTTCATATTCCAGACAAACACGTTCAAAGTGTTTAAAATGCCTATTAAACCTGACCAAGTTGTTCTTGTCTGGGTCAAGCTTACTGAGTTCTTTAAGGTTGGCCAACTCCCTTTGACCAGACCAGGGGAAGTTATTATGCATAATCTTCACAGCCACGTCCTTCTTGGCCCGATGAAATAGTTTGCATCGGAACACTCGCCCAGTACCTCCAACCCACAGGGGCTCTCTTACAATATACCATCTTGATCTTGATTCATCAAACATATAGTAATTGTTTGGGATGTAATAATAACACTTTACTTTAGCTAATGTTGATCCCATTTCTACAAGTTAAATGTTTCCACCAGCTCTCTTTTTTTTTGTTGTAACTTGTGCCAAAAAACGTGCTTTGAGAACAAGATATGTGAAGATATCACCTTGGACGTCTGACTTAATGTATATTATAAAGTCAGAAGCTGGGTAGATCATTTGTATATACACTAAATGTTGAATAGATTACTAAAAAACCCTACTCAATCCCAAGAAATGTGCCAGGTGATGTCACATTTTGAATGCAGTGTAACTTTTTGCCTTTATCTTCAAAGATCAAAGCACAATGTCACACCTGATTTAAAAAATAAAAATTGAATGATGTCAAAGAACCTTATTATCCTGACGTCACATTTTGTATTGATTTGAAATTGACCAAAACCATGGCTGCGTTCCGATCCACAGTGTACATAAACAGTACTCCCTACTCACTGTTCCCTGCTCAGGGAATGTCGGTTAAGGGAACCTCCCTCGAAAATTCTTCCATTCGGAACACCCTGCAACATCATCATCACACGTCAGTTCCGCAGTGTGTTACCCTGGTAACGTAAACACCTCGGATACCCGCTGCTACTGTGGACATTTACTTTAATTAAATATTGAATATATGTTAAAATAAACTGATACAATTACTAAACTTATATTTCCATAACGTCTTCTATTTATATTCTATTAAAATGTATGTAACTTGTGAATAATTGTGATTGGATTAATTTACAAGATATGTAGCGTCATTCTTAAAAAGATTCATACGAGCATTGTTGTTTTTAGTCAACCTAACCTCTGAAATAATCATATAAATAATAACACATAATAATAGAATAGAATAATAATACAATGACAATACATACATTTATTCATTTAGCTGACGCTTTTATCCAATCTCTTGCTCAGGGACACATTGGTGTCTCATAGTGGATTTGAACCCAGGTCTCTCACACGAAAGGCATGAGCCTTATGCGCTACTCCATCACCACCCCTATATAATTACAGAAACTCTGTGGTCTGCTCTATTGGTAGCTCCTATGAGGTGCAAAGGCTTATAGGTAATCTTTCTTGTCAACTTCCTGCGAATTGATGAACCGTCGTTCCCTTCTTCCCTACACAGTTCACAGTGCCCTTTGAAGTGAACATGTTGTGCTCTCTGCGGTTTGGAATACCCTGTGCAGTCCACTTAGCAGGGAACTACAAGGCCATCGGAACGCACCCCATTATTACGTTTATGTTGGCCCTAATCAATAAATAATTATCAGGCTGGGTATGGTTGTAAGATGGGGAGAGTTGTAACAACACCAATTCCACCAATTGGAAATTGCCAGATAAAACGCGTCAGGTTTGTTAAACTGAAGCGTGAAGTGGACGAGTCTAATCAAAATGCTCGTAGCTGACGACGACGAGCGGGCCTCTCAAGAAGGAGGTGATGAGATGTGAAGGCACGTGAGTTACACCAGAAGATGTTCAACACATTTTCCCGTTTCATTAACAGAGAGAAAGAGTTGTTGTTAGCTGCTGTCGCTCTGTTTAGACAGAAAAAACAGCAGAGAGGCCGTTTCTGATTCTCAGCAGAGATGGTCTCTCCTCTGAAAGTGAGGCTGCTTTCGACCTGCAGAGAGAGCCGAGTTGCTGTGAGGTGAAGGCGGCGCCGATCCGGAGCAGCAGTGACCCAGATCTGATCGAGGTGAGTGGGTCAGCTGTGTGGACGCCGTCAGGCTCTCAGAGGGATTTCACCGTGTGAATCCAGATTTACTCCGTTTATCTCTGGATATTTATACTCAGATTATCTCTCTCGAGGATCATTTCACCACTCTGCTGAGGAAAGGAAATGAAAGGATGTCATGCTCTGCTGGAGGACCAGCATGAATGTCGAGACAAACCACTGATCTGCAGCACTTTATGTCAGTTTTAGATATAAACTGATTACTGGCTGTAATAAACAAACAGGAAGTAGAGGTTAAAAACCGGAAACAAAACCAGTCGCATGGACCTAAAGACCATGAATGTGAGAAATGTGAAGAGAGGTTTTAAGAATTGGGTTTAAAATGGGCACGCTCCAATGTAAACACGAACTGTCTACACGAACACGGGTATTTTCATAACCATGACTTTTTGTACGCGGTTCGGCCGTCCATCCATTTTTGAAAACCCCTGCCGGGGTGAGGATTTTCAGAAACGCCGGTTGCTGTGCTGTCGTGTGGACAGGGTTTTGCCTCGCGACGTCAGATTGTGCGCCACTACCTGCTTTGTTTACAATTTTATTAGGCTCTGATTGGCCAACGTGGCTTTACAGCTAGGGCCATATCGCTGCCAGGCAGTTTGGTGTGCTCTTGACAGCGCTTGATAGCGTGTGTTTGCGTTTTCATGTGGACGGAGATTTTTTTAAACAAAGGAGGAAAAACTCCAGTTATAAACAAATCCGAAGTGGAAAAGATCAGATTCCATGTGACTTGGCCTGTTAACACGGTCAGAAAAGATCAGATCTGAGTCACATGTGGTTGACTCAGATCTGATTGGCCTGCAGTCTGAGCGTAGCCTAAAATATTGACAATATTCTATTTCTCTGCATCTTTATCATATTGGATCGTGCAGAAACAGAATTCTGCATCTTTAATGATTTCCTTTCCTCATCAGAGTCAGTCATCAGAGTCAGTGTGCCGGGAAATTAAAATAATCAATAAAGTTATGCTGCTGTATTTCTCAACGGGGAGAAGATTCATCCTATTTCACCCGGCCGCTATTGATTAGAATGTTGAAAGGCAAAGACCACCTCAAGTTAGGTCAAACTTTAATGGAACACAGCTAATGGGGTAAATACCCAGGGGAAGCAGTGAGAGTTAACGAATAATGCGACCAAGACAAGAGAGTTATAAGTAGATAGAACAGGAAATGCATGTTAGGGGGTTAGCTTTACTGATCAAAACAAACGTCACACTCATGCATGAGCACGCGAGAGGCCTGCAGCACTTTGCACATTTAGCAACAGACATTTGTGAAACTGGATGTGAAACGGCGGTCACAAGTCACTTTGGGAAGCAGCTCCCTGAAGCACACTGCTCCACGGGGCAGACAGACAGGCCCAGTTATGCAGCACTTGAATGAAACAGCAGATGTAGGTGAGACTGATCTGAGCTGCCTGTCTGAGGGTGAGATTAGGACGCCGGGTTAGTGTGTGTGGTTCTCACGTCTTGGTGTGTCAGGAAGTGCTGCTTCAGCATCCTCACACACACACACACACACACACACACACACACGTTTGTTCCTCTATCCCTGTGGGGACATCTCATTGACATAAACATAATGCAACTAACTGACCTTAAACCCTTAATTTAACCTTAACCATCAGAACTACAGGCCTGACCTTTAACCCTTAATTTAACCTTAACCATCTCAACTACAGGCCTGACCTTTAACCCTTAATTTAACCTTAACCATCTCAACTACAGGTCGTTTAAATCACTGTTTTTTTGACACTGAATGCAACGCTCAGTAAATACCTTTATCCAGTTTTAAGCTTTTGATATCATCAGCTCTCCCACAAACCAGCTGTGTTTACCCTCCAGACTAAAAATAAATTTCCGCCTGCATTAAAATGACACAAGAGCACAGAGGTTTTAATGTTGCTGCTGTGATCAATACGGTTACTACAAATCGAATAGATACAGAACAGCGTTATTAGGACTTTACTTAGTTAGGATCTGGTCCCACAAAACTCTCTTTTTCAAAACTGAAACACCATCAAACACTTTACTAGTGGTTCTCAACAATACTAATAATTATTGTGATATATTTTCTTCAATAACAATGTAACAATTGTTCAATTAATGTTTGATATTATTCACTAGAATCATACACGAATTAGGACTTAGGATGTTTATTTTGTTCAAAAACGGACTGAAAAAAGCTTTTACTTAATTTCACTTGTGCATATTTGTTGACAAAGTTTTATCATAATAGTTTTGAATGTTCTACCTCACTCTGTGAAGTGATCCACTGTTTGGCCTCACGTGTTCTGACCATAAAGAAAAGTTTAAATCACGGTTTCTTCAACTTTCACTTGTATTGTTATACAAGCTGCACGCTCGCTACTTTACACTGTTCTACAAGCTGCACGCTCACTACTTTACACTGTTATACAAGCTGCACTACTTTACACTGTTATACAAGCTGCACGCTCACTACTTTACACTGTTATACAAGCTATACGCTCACTACTTTACACTGTTATACAAGCTGCACTACTTTACACTGATCTACAAGCTGCACGCTCGCTACTTTACACTGTTCTACAAGCTGCACGCTCGCTACTATACACTGTTATACAAGCTGCACACTCGCTACTTTATACAAGCTGCACTCTGACTACTTTACACTGTTATACAAGCTGTACACTCACTACTTTACACTGTTATACAAGCTGTACGCTCACTACTTTACACTGTTATACAAGCTGCACGCTCACTACTTTATACAAGCTGCACGCTTGCTACTTTACAGTGTTATACAAGCTGCACGCTCGCTACTTTATACAAGCTGCACGCTCGCTACTTTACACCGTTATACAAGCTGTACGCTCACTACTTTACACTGTTATACAAGCTGTACGCTCGCTACTTTACACTGTTATACAAGCTGTACACTCACTACTTTACACCGTTATACAAGCTGTACGTTCGCTACTTTACACTGTTATACAAGCTGTACGCTCACTACTTTACACTGTTATACAAGCTGCACGCTCACTACTTTATACAAGCTGCACGCTCACTACTTTACACTGTTATACAAGCTGCACGCTCACTACTTTATACAAGCTGCACGCTCGCTACTTTACACTGTTATACAAGCTGCACGCTCACTACTTTATACAAGCTGCACGCTCACTACTTTACACTGTTATACAAGCTGCACGCTCACTACTTTATACAAGCTGTACGCTCGCTACTTTACACTGTTATACAAGCTGCACGCTCACTACTTTATACAAGCTGCACGCTCACTACTTTATACAAGCTGCACTCTGACTACTTTACACTGTTATACAAGCTGTACACTCACTACTTTACACTGTTATACAAGCTGTACGCTCACTACTTTACACTGTTATACAAGCTGTACGCTGACTACTTTACACTGTTCTACAAGCTGCACTACCTGAAACTGTTATACAAGCTGCACGCTCACTACTTTACACTGTTATACAAGCTGTACACTCACTACTTTACACTGTTATACAAGCTGTACGCTCGCTACTTTACACTGTTATACAAG